TCAAATTCATTTTTAAAGTTTAAATTGATTTTTAGACAGATACTTTGCTACGATCCAGTGAGTAGATATACTACATTTTTTTTCTTACGAAAGTGGCATTTCTTAGAACATAACTATCAGTGGCGTACCTGCCGATACGCCAGCATGCAGTGTATATTTAATGAATAGAGTTTCGAGAAATTAAAATTAAAAAAAAATGACGTGAAAAAAAATGATGTAGATGGATCTATAGTTGCGTAGCTGCTTATTGATTCCAAAGGTATGCTAACGATGTAACCTTTGTCAAATATGTTCATACAATCAAAGGCGAGAAAAGCACATACATGTAAGAGAAAAGAACATGGGGAGAATTTTTAGCGAGAAATTTTCTATTGTGTTTTTTTTTTTATTTCTAATACAAATAATCAATTTTTTAAGTAGGTTATGTTTGAGTTACCATAAAAATTCAACCACCCTATGCGGATTTTATTAAGGATAATCATTATTAAAACTTAAAAAGACAAAATGTTATAATGCTTATAAACCTCGCTGAACTTTATGTTTGTCTGGAACTTTTGTAGTACAAAGGAATACATGTCAGCCTCTTCATATTCAATCATGTAGTTGTTTGTCAATGTATTAGTCTGTCACATTCATTTTATCTTCATTTGAAATTGTGTAGAATAGTTTGGATCCTACAAATCTGATCATAGCCCACAACTATCATTACAAACCGAACTCGACTTTATTGTAAATAACATTTTAATCAAATTGAAGTCCCTTAAAATAGTAGATTTAAAAGATATATCACTATACAAAACTATTTAAATATATTTCATTGACTATAGAAATGAACTCCATATGTCTGCAAACAATGACATCTTTTATGTAATCTATAATAGTCTCATCTATATTTACATACAAAACAGAGATAAAATTACAATAAAAACAAAGTTAAGCTATATGAGAGAATGTTCTTTCTTTTTTTTCTCATTTTGAACCTTTTACAAAACTAAAATATATTTCCACTCTTGCTTTAAATAAATCCATAATTTTCCTGTTCAGTTGTAAATACTTGTATGCGATACAAAATCTTATATGTTATTTTTCTTTTTTCCAAGGTTTTGACATACTAGTAAGGCATTTATTTTAACTGCGTAATAATATAACTAAAATATATCGGATGAATTTTAAAGAGTAAAATTGAGGAAAAATTGTCTAAAACAATCATTCTCTAATATTAACAAAATGCACTTCTAAAATTATTATTTTTTATGGACCTAAGTGTTCGCATATCAATAAATTTAAGGTGTGGTTTTGATGCTATAGATTATTGTTACACTGAAACATTTAATCGATTGTGTTCGTTTTATGGTCAAACAGATCGTTTTAAAAGCGATATGTTCCTTGCTCCTTGATTATATCTCATGTTAAGGTATTTTGAAATAAAAAAAAATGAAACAAAAAAAATGTTGTTTTAAACATCTTGATTGGAATAGAGATACCTGGCTATGTTTTGTTTTGTAATGGTGAATACGTTTTATAGCAATATTTTCCTTGATTATATCTCATGTCATCCTCGGTAACCCAGGCGTTTTACCTTATACATGTATTAAATGTAGTATATTCGGAATGTGTACCGTGGTTTCCGACGATGATTTCATGTCTAGGTATATTGAAAAAGAAAAGAAAAAAAACGGAAAAATGTTAACCATCTTGATTACAAATAGAGGTATTTGGCTATATTTGGTTTACCTAATGGTAAATAACTTTTTTTGAATTATTTTATAAAAGCAATCTTCACTTCAGGCTTCATGCAAAAAGGACAATTTGGTCCAAGGGGACTGTAATTGACGTATACTCAAAATAAGCCAAGGTACGCCCCTGACTATCCTGTCGCAACTATACTGTATACTGTACAGTATATTATAATAAAATATATCCAATGGAATTTTAACAAAGTTTGCACCATTGCAGGTATTAATGTAATAGACAGGAATTCTAAATCAAAGGAGGTGTTGTTATTCACAGTTTTGAAAGGTGACAATTTGAGGGGAAAAAATAAAAGTATTCTTTGCACGCACTAGCTTGATGTTTATGATACACATTGAGAATGCATATAACTTTTTAACATGTTTCAGACAAGTTGAATATTATTAAATTTAACATGAGGACAGATTAACACCCTTTTATCACATGACTTGAGAAAAATGACATTTTGGAGAAAAAAACACTGTTTGATAAGTCATAGTTACATTATATGAGTGTAATATTATAAAAATCACTTATGGTTATTATATATTTAGGAACGGTTAATATATATTTAAAACAAAGGATATTGAATATATTGAAAGAACTTGATATTGAACACTTTGAAAATACTTGATATTGGATATTTCTGGATAGAACTTAATCATAAATATTGTGAGGGAACTTGATATCAAACATATTCAAATAACTGAAAGCTAAACAGCAACATCAAAATAAATTGCATTAATTACAATGGAAGTAAATCATGACGTCTTATAACAAAAAATGATAAAAATTGCTGTGGATGTAGTTGCTCTGCTGTTCAGGTCTTATTTTTAGCTCCATGCAGAAATTGAAAGCTAATGCAAATGACAATTGCATCTAAAAACAAAACCAGATGAACTTTTATAATTTATAAGAAACAATTGTTTATATTGTTTTAATCGAAGTTATGACACATTTGAATTACCTTACAAAAAAGAAAACAAATAAGATTTACATTTCTTGCCTTCACTCCACCTCGAAATCTAAATTATTCATTTGTTTCGTTTATGAGTCAGTTATTTACCTGATTTTTATAACTTATTCACATGAAATGAAGATCAACCAAAAATTCGGGCAATTGCTCAATTTCTATAGTATTTTCTGTATTTTCCTAGTTTGCATTCACTGCTTTACATTGCATACATATTTGAAAACTAAGGACTTATAGTCTTGTTCTTTAACTTAATTCGTATTTTGGTGATCAGGGTTTACTACATATTGGTCAATATAAACTCGTGTTCATGTCCATGTCTGGATTCAAAGCACGTTTTACACAAATCGAAATCTTCACAAACAGTACAATGGTAATGTGTTTCAAGAATATCCTCCCCGCAATTATCACACACAATTTCTTCGACTTCCTCATACTCAGAATCTTCATTTGCATTTTCTTTAACAATACTTTCCTTTAATATTTCTTTCAATACATCAATATTTTCGAACACTTGGTAATATTCAAAATCAGTACCATTGTCAATAGCACACTGTTGCATAAAAGTGCCTAATGTCCGTAGTATTTCATCCGAAGCATATCCTTTTGGGAAACCATATTCTTGGAAATTTTGAGTTTTTAATATTTCAATTTTTGTTACTACCTCGGTCAGTTCTGACAAGATCATAAGGGCACTAACATTACTAGCAACGAAGTCTAACATTCCATCTTTGGCTGCTTGCTGTAACTGTATAGGCGAAGCTCTTGTACACATGTACCTTCTCATTAAGCTCCCTTCGTTTAGCCTCATTGCCAATTCCATCATTTTCATGATAAATTCAAGTCCAAGACTCCCTACTAAATCTTTCAATGAAACCTTTTCCAAGATTGCATGTAATATGCTAAATTTCACAAAGCTTGACTTTGTTTCAAAATTAACATAAGATTTGCAGATTTCTTCTACGAATTCAATGTACGCATCAAGCATGTCTCTTCGCATTCCAAGCCTTGTTTTCTCCGGCGAAAGAGAAAATAAAGCACTGTTTTGAATCCATGTAACATTGGCCTGTAGTAAACACACTTCTATTCTTTCACCTGTGCGATGTAAAACATCATCTTCAATGTCCTGAAACAGATTGTTTGCAGGAACTATGTAGTGTGGGCAATGAGCATCATCAATGTAACTCTTGAGACGAACAAGGAGCCCTTTTACTCTAGTAACAATATTTCTTAATGTCCAGTCATCATCATCAATGTTTTCACATTCCCACAAAAGAACATTCTTTAAATGGTATGATTGTAATGCTTTACCTGATGGTGGTTTAAGAAATTGTCTCCATATACCTTTAAGAAGTATGTAACACTGTTTTTGTTCATCTTTAAGCTGTTTCATCAACTCTCTCTCCACCAAACAGAATGAAATCCTCCACTCAAGATGCGTTTTACTTGACAATGGACATTTTGGTACGATGAGACACCCATTGGACGTTATGTTTCGAACGCTGCTTTCACTTGGCCATCCTGACTTCCTCTTCCTTTCGATCCATTCTTCGGCAACAGTGGGCCACTCGAGACAGTGTATCGCCATAGCACAATCAAACTGGAGCGAAGCTTTATCAGATTTAAAGAAAAAAGATGTCTTTATTGCGGGTCCTTCCTGGGTTGTCATGAAATAGCTATCTTCGACGCTCTTTGCTTCATTGTTTTTCGTGTTTACTCCAACTCCATAGCTTTCAATCAATGTCTGCCTAACATTTTCGTCCATGGTCAAATATTTCCTGAAGTGGATCCAGTTCTGAGTGGTGTTTCGGTAACATATCATCATATAAAATTCATCTGATATTCCTTCCGGTGCTATGTAAAATTCATTTATGTTTCCTTTTTCATTTGAAATTATGTTACAAAAGTTATTCCACGTACTAGCCGTATCGCTATCTTGAATGTTAAGATAAACATGACCCGGAAATTCAGTAGAATATGTTACTTTTGCCATATTTTTGGAATTACATTTCATGGTATCATGCGTTGCGGTTATTGTTTTCAAGACAAGTGTGAAATCTAACTCTTCGTTATAACCCGCTTCGCTGACTTCTGTAATTGCCAGTTGCTCACTTGAGCTCCCAATGGGTTCGATTGAATACTCTGCTAAACATGGATGAGGTTTAACTTGAAGCGTTGAATAATGTTGAAACCAATCTCCGGGGTTCTGAATCATTTCTTTGACAATGACTTGCAACTTCTCGTATCGTCTTGGATTTGACACACATGTTTGTATGTGTTCAAGTATCTCGGGATCTAGGTGATCTACATTTTCTGTTTCCGGCGCTTTATCATTAATATTTGAAGCCATGCTGATCTCTAAAAAATAAGATTATTTGTCATGAAAACGACTTCTTTCTTTTCGCACAGAAACGCAATTCAGTGTGAACATATGCTTCAACGTTCTATGAAACAAAGTCACTTAAAGGTTTCATATATTACGATTTGAATTAAAATATTGAATGTTAAGAAGTATGTTCAAGGTAACTTTGAATTTCTGTGTAAAATTTCAGTAATGTTGCTATTTGCCTTGCCATCTTTAATTTGCATTACTCAGTCAAATAATTTCGAGAGAAAAATGGTAAAAAATATATTTATTACAAAATTTGTTTGTACTTTGACGTTTAGAATTTCCTACATCACATATTGAATGAAAATGCCATGAAAATTTATGACTTAATGGTCAACCATATATAAGACGGGAATAAGTCAGTGTAAATTTAAAGTTTACGAAGATAACTGAGCGAGATATAACGGATTTATCTAAGAGTTTTAAGTAAGCTATTACGTCTGTCTACACATGATCAATTAACATTGATAAGTCAAACAAGTAAACCTTCTTTGATTGATTAAGAAATGCTTAAATGTACTTTTTTACTAAAATAAATATTACAATAGATATTAAATTATAACTTTCAACATCACATGTACATGAAAATTAAAGATATATGCCGGATATCGAAATCGGGAAAAGGGGAGAACCATCGAAAGAAATGGGTAAAAGTTTTAAAGAGAAAATTGAAGATTCGGTTTGATTGAGCATGATATTGAGAATTAATAGAAAGTAAACCATCTCTCAGGCCCCCTAGCACCGACTCCAGCAGTGTTCAGTCTTAAGCATATTTAAGTATTGAAATGAATGATTCTTAGGATCAAGAAAAATATGATAAGACTGAAGTTAAGTACTGAGCAACTTTTCACAGCTGCCATACAGCTCTTGACAACTCTTATATTGAGTATTAAAAATCTGGAAAAGAAAATATCTGTTGAATAAAATGGAAACAAAGCTTATAACTCGGTTTGATAAACTCCATTCATAAGAGATAATGAAAAGTATTCAAATATGCATATTTCAAATATGTACATAACTTTTAAATCTTGAAATTCAATGAAAGAAAAGAAAACAGAAAAGTACTTACCTGTTTTGATGTAGTAACTAAATAGCACGTCAAAGTTTCCTACTTTTGATTTGAATATAATATATTAAATTACTGAAATGATTATTTTATACTGTCGGTAGGTGACATGTATTTTGGTTTCGCGGTCGATCTTATGTAGTACAAAGCTATTATCTATGGTGTATTTACAATATATGATAATGTAAACATAGGGCTGTTTTTACACGTTATGATCAATACGTTCGCATTGTACTTATACATGTAAGTAATGTAATAAACACCTTGAATATCCACTTAACAGTTAAAGGAGCTCAACTAAGGTAAAAAAAATAAACAAAAACTCTAAAATTTTAATTTTTGCATAGATATAGTGAGTAACTTAAAAATTGGGGGATACAAAAGATGATAATGAAATATACCGAGACTTAAATTGAAATCGATTAAGTATGATTTTAAACCGGTTTGAGTGAACACTTTTCGTATTCCGGTATCAAAATTATTTTATAGTATCTATAAAATGATTTTCCGTCACAAAAACCATAACGATAAGAAATCTTACACACACATCTTAGAACCCATTGTAGCATTCTAAATTCTAAAAGAAGACCATTTTTCTAAAATCATAATTGATGATCTCTTCTGTCAGTGCCACCACTTATTTGACAGTATAATAGTAGGTCACTGTCCAAGGTCCACAACTCAAACATGGATTTTGTCAGTTCTATCTGTCGGAAAAACAAAAAATGTTTCATTGCTTTTATGTTAATATCTCATATTCAACTGTAATGATGTTTAAACTAGGGATAAACTACGACATATATTTTATAAAATGATCATTGACGGGACTCCACTGAGAATTTTTGACCTCAAGGAACTGGATTTTTTTTTTGATACGTGTCTCATAAGAGGTATTGGCCTAGACTTATAACTTGCGTGCACGGTTTTCTCCGTTTTCAACAGGCTGCTTTGTTATATAAAAACAATTCTCGTTTTGGAACACGTTGCATCAAACAGTCTTATCTTAAGAACTATCCTCGAACAAACAATTCATTGCTTAAATTATGAGTCCTATGGGAGATGCTTAACCGGTCAGATTAATTAACTGGCATATGTAAATGCAGTTTTGAATTTTATAAAAAAAAATCTTGAATAAAGAAAGGCTATTTTTTAAACATGTCAATTGTGTATTTTATCGAATTATGAAGATATATATGAAGATAATTATGTTTCGAGCAATATAAATATCGCTATAAAGAAACAGTTTCATTTTCATTTAATTTTTGAGAGATCATTTACTGGATCAACATCTTCTCTTCTTATTAAACAAGCATTACATAAGACAGATACATACCTGAGGCAATTACTTGAGAAATGTATGAGCACATATATCAGTGACGTAATCAAAATAACAATGGCAGTCTTAATATCTCTCTGTTGGGTAAATGACATAAAATACACAAAACGCATGGTGTATCTATGAAACATTAATGAGCCCCGACACTGCGATATGGATATGGCATTTTCATTAAGCAATATATTACAAAACGATTTTACTTTGTGGAATGGTATTCAACGATTTAATGTCAAGCTTTACATGGAGCTTTAGGCTAATTTAAAAAGACAATATTAAAATTTATTTTATTAGTGGTGATATTTATAAAATAACACTTTTAGACTTTATCAACTTTATCGTGTAACAAAGTATGTCAAATGTATCTGATGTATCAAGCATTTATCTACATGAATGTGAGGTGACTGGCGTGTGAAAGATTCAGTTAAATTGTTTCCATTTCATTTGTACTATTTTATTGATGAAACAGACAGTAGTAGTACTATTTGTGCCAATTCAGAAAAGATAGCAATGAAAGAGTGTTTGCTTATGAACAGTGTGTCCCCAATAGAAATATATGACGACATGAATAACTGCTGTTCAGATTCTAATATATTAAGAATTGTTATGTTTAGCTAAATATTTATTTGCATCTATGGCATATAAGACATGGATAATACGAAACAAATATGTAGATTGCTAATGGATTTGGCTATAGGTTGCAGCACAATTTCTAAGTGGCGGCATGGCCGAGTGGTTAACGCGCCGGATTTGAAATCTAAGGATCGCTTTGCGTGTGGGTTCAAATCCCATTAAGGGCGAGTTGTTGTTTCCTTGAGCAAGAAACTTTACACTACTGGTTGGTTACAAGAACGAATTCAAGAGTGTGTCTATAAGCTTTAAGCTCTAAGCTCTCTACACAATCGAATACAAAACAAAGTCTGTTTTAACGATGAACAGTACTCCCCACAAAATCTCAATTTCATAACATATGTGTAGACAGAGATAGGGTACCCTAGATAAGATATTATTGATGTTGAATTCGATGTTTTACAGTATGGCGGCAAACAACAAAATATCTAAAAAAATCACATTTACAATTAAGTTTAGGCTTATATTGTAAAATGTTTACAGCTGCAAGTCCTGTTTGATATGCTTGAAAATATTTATCCGCTGTGTAAATTCGCAAAAGGTTGACACCAAACCAAAGGATGGATAAATTGTATCACATTTAGGTGTAAAACGTCATAACCAAGTCCAAAAATGCTCGGTTCTTTTGGTCAAAAGACCTCTTCACAATGTAAAAAATATACCCCGCGAAAAACTATTCCTAGGAAACAACATCTTGGAATGAGATTATTATGATAATCGTAGTTATTTCACAATTTATAGTTCAGTAAAAGCATCACTGTATACAGAATGGACCAAAAGAAGTTGAGAAACGCAATGATTTTAACTTTGGCGTCTGAAAGCTATGATTATAGTGAAATGTAGGAGGTCTTTCTATACTTTTTTCCATTAATCAAAGAATAACAAAATTCTCCGAGTTAAAAAATTAACCATGTCATACATACATCATTTGTGTGAAGACTTTGCTGCCATCCTCCTGACATATATATCATTTCCTAAGAAAATAAAAACATCTCAATATCAAGTTTCAACTATAAACATTTCAATAAATGACATATATTGACTTTGTTTGAATAACGTATGGAAGACGGTCTAATAAGATAAAAGTCAATATCTTGTCTTTTGCGTCACTTCAGGCCATTAATTGAATTGGTTTTTTATGAATTTTTCTTCAGACAGTTTTATACCTATCGATTCTTAAATTCGGAGATGTTTACGAAGTTTTTGTTAGTTTTATTTTAAATGAACTACTACATACGCCAGGGAGATTTTGTTTGTTTGTTTTCTTGGGTTTTACGTCACACCGACAGAGTATAGGTAATATGATGACGTTCCACCTTTACTGGCGTCAGGGAGATAATGTAAGGTCTATACATTATAGCATACTGTTGAAAGACTTAATTGTTGGTGCATATACAAGGTGTTTTGACATGACGGGACTGGAAATATTAATTCCAGATTTGTGTAACACTCGATGTAGGTTGATCAATTTTCCAGATCATTAGCTCACTCGGTTTTTCCAGAATAATCTTTTTTATTTGTACAAAATGACAAAAAAAGAAAAATATGTAAATGCTTTGCTAAGAAATGAACTAAAATCGATATTCAATTTAATTCTGTGTAATATTTCTTTATTTTATCATATGTTTTCTATTTTAAGTGCCTAAACTGATATACAATGTATGTAATAATTTCAAAAATTATGTATTAGACATTTTTACCACAGTGGAGATGCTTTAAAATCTAATTATAAAGGCGGATGTATATATTAGGCAACGTAACTAATACTCAATGATATAAAACTATGTGACGTAATCGTCCTATTGTTGTAGCATTGAAGGTACAACCAGCCCGAATTAATTGTTATATCTTATTCGTTTCTTTCTTTTTATATATTTGTAATGACACTTATATCAGAAGGGAAAGCAGATCAACTAATAACAACGGAAGCGCGGC